CATATTTTTATAAAAGATCAAGTATGTAATTCGCTGTCAGCGCGCAGCGTTTATTCTTTCCCGCATAATTAAGACTTCCGTTCGAGACGGGTTGCTCGCGCGGTAATTCGAGAATTATTGGATGAAATTGTGAATCTGATTGGCCTCGGTAGCACTGTTAACGGTTTAATGTGTATCCTCGGCGATCTTAGGAGTCTCAGAAACTCTCGGGTTGCCCGTCCCAGAGAAATGGATCGCGTTTGATATATCTCTGAACGTCGGCTGTAGAAAAAAAAAAATAAATAACGAGGAGACGGAGGATTGCGTCTTGAATCTGAAAACGAACGTTGAAGCGGAAGAAAGACGCGGGTTCGTCGTCGCCCGGAGAAACAATTTCCGCGATGAGTGGCGGCGCGCGAGAAAGAATTTCCAAATGAAACGTATCTTCCGGCGAGACGATGTCCACGAGGACGAGGGGGAGGGGGACGGGGACTCTCGGAGCTCTCGGGGGAAAAATAAGGCTAATTTCAACGAGGCGCTTATGCACGGAAACGTAGCGGCACGATGAACCGGAAATGCTCACGACGAGAGTAATCAATTTCTCGTCCTGCGAGACGCGAAAGTCTCCCCTCGTCTTTTAACGCGCGCGAGCACGTCTTATAGTTATTAGCAGCTTCGTAATGCATCATGAATACGCGAGCGCTAACGGTCGCCTTGAGCAATCTTTCTGTCGCTTGCGTCATCGAAATGTGTATCTTTTTTATTCGGCGGGGAATCGGGGACACACTCTATTACCGCGACTCACGTCCGCGGCGTCGCGTCGCGGAAATGCGTTACCCTCTCCGACGACACGGTTTCGTCGCGCAGAAAGAAACAGGGTCTTTTCCCAGAAACAGTTTCTTGCGCGCGCGCGGTCGTTGGAAATATGAAGAAAACGACCGCAGCGCGCGCGAAGCATTTTCGTTCGGCGGTTTTAGATATGATTAAAAATGAAGTTGCGCGGTAAGAAAATAAATACTATCCATTACCGTAATCCCGGAAATGGTGGAGTGTTGTTCTCGCAGATTATATAACCGAGAAGCGCGCACGTCCCGGCGCTGTCGCGGACCACTTTCATCTGCGGAATCAATTAAGCCGTTGGACCGCGCGGTAATATCTTTTTTGAGAAGCGGGGGAGAGGGGAGATTCGCGCAAATGTTTATGGCACTTTAAAAACTTAGCAGTTCACACAAATCTAAGCCTGGCGGAATCTGTAGGGTTGACTGACCCGGTCACAACTTGACTGTAGATTTTTTCAACAAAGTTCGTAGTCAGCTGATAACAATGTATACTGAAGAAACACCATTATGCGCGTTACATGAAGTAGCCGGGTGGAATAGGTGTAGAAGAACTTAGTTCTCGCCTATCCAAATATTTGTGCATTTCAGTTCCCGACGATCATCCCTTGGGAGGGAGGGGGGAGGGAGAGGAAGCGTGATAAAGAATATCCCGTTAAAACATACCGTGTCGCATTTTATGGCAATTACAACAACGATCTCGCAGATATGATACAACCCGCGTGGTAATGTAATTTTCACGCCTCGCTATTTCCCGCCTGCAGTCTCTCTGGTAAATAAACTGCATAAGTGATAAATTGTTCTGTCGAATTCTCAACGTCGAGCGGAAGGTACAGTGAAATTGACCGTAAATCGTGCCGTTTTCCGCGTGCGCCCGATAATTTGCAGTTGATAAAATCACGCATACCTCAAATGTACGTCCACCGATAATCTATATATCTATTTAATGCGCGGTAAAGCATTAAGCAAGCATGGTGCTAAAGCCGTAAGAAAAAGAATGGAATTACGACGGGATAAATCGGAGATTATTCGTGCGGCGCGGTAATTCGCGTTCGTTGGTTTTATCGTCGATTTGTGATTTTTCGTGTGTGGCTCGTGTGGTGTGTGTGTGCGCGCGCGCGCACTCACGCGCGTGTGAAAAGCCATCGCGCCGCGATCGACTCATCGCTAATGTACGCACTTCCGGTGACGAGTTAATCTCTGGGTGGATTGATCCGCGAATATGCAGCCCATTAAATGTCAAGCGACACGAAACGTGAGCGACTGAAAATTGATTTCTCGCCGTCAAAGAAAAGTGGTCCACGTGTGAGCCGAGAATATGCGAGTTGTTCGGAAATTATTCAGACACTGATAGGTCGAACGTATCCCGATGAATTATTTTTCGAAAATACGATCGCGACAAAGTGCAATATTAAGTTTTCCGATCCAGGATTTTATTTCCCCGGATCTCTCTTTAATCAAACGGAAAAGGACGCGCTAAATAATTTCGCTTTCTCTGCATTTGTCATTACTTTCGGCTCGTGATCTCCAACGACTTATCGGTTTGCCGACCCTTCAATAACCGGTGCAGCTATTCGAAATCGATTGTCGGAACACACGGAACACTTGCGGAATATTCATTCGAGAATATCGCTTCGCTGCTCGCATGTCGGTACAAAGATCGCCGGTAATTGCCCCGGTTTGCTTTCCCGAGCGACATCGGCGATTAAATGTCGCTAATACGAAGGGGAGGGGAGGGGGAGGGGGAAGCCATCGCGGTGAACTTACCGTTTCCCTCTACGACATGCACCCGCCGCCGGTGTGCCTTTGTAGCCGCGGCAATTTATGCAAATCGGATACGATTTGTCGGTTCGACAACACGAGAAACGAGAAGATAGATCGGGCTGCAATTTGTTATTAACTAAATCCGCGATGCACTCGACAGAGGTCAGGATAAATTGTTCTTTTTTTTCCCCTCTCTCTTTTTTTTTCTCCGTGCTGCAGGCGCACGTGGTCGAGTGCGCTGTCGAAATGCCTTTTGCATAAAAAAAAAAAAATGCAGAGTGAGTCACTGCGGCGCACGTCGATGTCTCAATTAAAAAAAAAAAACAAAAAAAAAAGGTTACAATAAACGTCCTGCTCAAGCGACAATCCAATTATTTCTGCAATTCTATCATCCATTTTGGTGACTGAGAGGAAGCACGTGGCTCTCTTCGCCGGACGATTTTTCAAGAATCGCCCACGCGATTCAAATGTGTCACGAGCGCGACGGCAACCGTATATATATATAGACGAGAAGTCTACATTTCATAATTTCGACATTACTTTCATGTAGAAGATTCTGCAAAATCTTGGGGAAGGGGAAGGGGCTCGCAAGTTTCAAAGCGGCTTGCGGGGGCGAAATGAATAACAGGGAGAAATACGTATAATGTACGTACAAAAGTTGTCGCGCGAATTTCGATCCCGCGGAAAACTTCTCAATGATGCTCAGCGCCCGAAAATCGAAGCTTTCATTAAAAAGTTACCGGGGAAACTAGCCGGGTACCGCGCCCGCGCGGACGAAATTAATTTGTTTCTTGCCGCAATGCGAGCGATATTATGGGGCGGGGAGGGGGAGGGGGGGGGAGGGAAACCGGCAGCGCAAACTGAAGTCATTTCGCAGTTGCGAGACGCCCGCGATTAATAAAAAGCGCTTCGCGGATCCCTCATATCGACGAATCGATAACCGCATTTGATTTGCATTAATCATTGCCGGAGTAATATACGTTTCTGGCCGTAAATTAAGTATATCGGGTCAGGTGTAACAGTCACCACCACCAAACCGTGCGGTTTGTGAATGTCTTTTTGCCGAATATATCGAGAACTTCTGTGAAAAAGCTCGTTATAATTCCGAAACAATTCTTCCCGTCTCCGCTTAGAAACAAACGTTGCTGTTACAATCGGTGTAATTTTAAATATGCAAACTTATTACATTAATCTTCTGGGAAAGCTTTGCGCCTCCGAGAGCCTGTTCGAGGATGCGAGACCTTTTATTTGTAAAGAAAACGGATTCTTCCTCGAGCAAACAGACGGCACACTTTGCGAGCAATGCCATATTCATAAATCAAAAATGGACATATCTTAAAGGACTTTTGCAAATCTATTCTCTACACAGATTCTACTCGCATAAAACAAAGTTTTGAACAGGGGGGGGAAGGGTAGGTAGGTTGGTAACGCTCGTCAGTGCTACCGATCTCAAATAAAATTTCTGAATTCGTTATCACGATCTCGAAGAATTTTAAACACAAATATGCAAATGCCCCGACATGTGTTCACTTCAAAAGCAACTTCTTCTTGTTGCAAGGGCAAACCTCGGTGTGTAACTAACCGGAATTAAAATTCGCTAACCCGCAACGCGCTGATCCCAAAGGGCTGCACCGCGAAGCGAAATTCTTTACGCCCCTCGCATGAAAAGTGCCTTTCTCACGGGATGAGATCAAACATCGTTGTAGCCGATCTGAATGGAAATTCGCGAAGACGCTAACCTTTTAAAACTTCTGTACGTTTCATGGACTGTTCAAAGACGCGAGAATTTTTATGCCAGAGCACATTTATTTTTCCTCTTGTAAGAAAGTAAATGTTCCTATAATTACACGAATGGATTAAAATTCGCGAATATGCAGTGTAAATAATTGAAAAGCTGTTTAAAGATGTATAAACTTTTTTATGTGTGTATCGAAATATCATATAACAAATGGGATTAAAATTTTCCATATTTGCAATATCCATTTTGAAGAATTATTCAACACAAGGAAATGTGAAATTTAGATTACTGATAATTAAAATTGTAAAATGGCAGTTAAAACTATAAAGTAAAAAATAAAAAGCTGTATATTAAATTTACCTTTTTATACAATAATGAAAAAAATAATATTTCTTTTTTATATTAAAATATATTGCATCCAAAGATAAAAATGTAGAATATTTTAATCATAAAAATAACCGCAGATCGATGAAAAAAATCTCAAAATATCCGCATTAAAAATAAAAATCGTATATATTTCCTTATAATTTTTTGCATCACGATTAAAAGATTTTGCAAGGCTGCAGTTGCGTTAATTTTTGGAAAACCCCGAAGCGCGCTCGCTCCAAAATTACAATAATATTTTCTCTTGCGATACCAGACGAATTTCACCACGATCGATCTGAATGAAAAGATTCGCAAACCTGCAGCGGTAATCCTGGAAGAGTTTCACACATCTCGAGCGCGATTCGATGCTGCAGTGACGCGTCCAAGGAACATTAATGCCAACATCGCCTATGTGTGTTCCCTTTTCATTCTCTCTCTTTCTCTCTCTCTCTCTCTCTCTCTCTTTCTCTTTCTTTCACCCTTTTTCGAGGACGCACGTGATTCAGCGGATCGAACGCGAGTACCGAACGCGACCGCACGGACTGAGGGACGCCGGTAAACTGATCGGGATCCTGATGGTCCTCCTCTGCGGAGGAGACCGTCCGGGTGCAGGACGAGGCGCGCAAGCTCGTCGCGAGCGCGAGCGCGAGCGCGAGCGGGAGATCGCGGGGAGAGCGAGTTTGGTGAAAGCGAGAGAGAAGAAGCCAGAGGAGGCCGGGCCTGATTTAATCGCAAAGGTAGCAGGACACACTAGGGCGCGGCGGGGAGGGGGGGCTGCGTCGCTTCAAAGGATAAAAAGCTCTGGTAATTTGCACCGGCCCGCAAGCCAGGACGAACGGAGAAGGCAATCCGCATTTCTACAAGACGGCCTAGAAGTGCCTATACACGAATGTCAATGCGCGATGTTAACAGTCGATGAAGTGTAGGTAATACTAATGTCAATACACAACGTCTAATAACAGTAGCTTCTTTTAATCTATGTATTAAATAAAATATATATGCATAGACACGCGTACACAATTTATGATCAATTGAAAGTGTTAACTTATTAACAAAATTAAATTGTAAAAACCAAATTTTTATATTATTTAAAGGTGAAAATTTATATTTTGATTTAGATTTAGGTTTAGTGAATACAAAATCAATTTTTAATGAAAATAACTTAATTGTTATTAACATATCAATTGAGAATTTTACTCTTGTCGTTTGGAGTTGTATATCGAGTATAAACTATTGACGTTTAGTGTTAATTAGTTAATAATTAGTGTCGATATTAATATCGGATAGAGATATCACAATACGACATTTTCCATCGAAAAAGATAGTCCTATATTATTGCGGTATCGTTAGCATTTCAAACCGGTGGCTTTTGGATCAGAACGCATTATCGACTTTGTATTTCGCCCTTGGCCGTTCGTGCCACGTCGCCGTTATCGAGATCTTTTGAGGTTCCGAAAAAGTTTGTACGTCGTTTTGTTGATCGATGAGCGCGGCTTTTATATTCGGAGGCAAAAGACGCGGCGTTGATATTAACTTCACGAGGAACTTTTTAATTTTTGTTCGATTGATATCGCCGTGCTCTCGTACAGTTTGTTGAAAGGTGAATAAAAGATAAAATGAGTAATGATGCCGCGGTGAATGCAACAATGAAAATATCTCGAGTACAAAGGCCTAAAAATAAAAATTTTAACAACATAAAATCTAAAAATACTAAACACAGCAAAATATAATTGTCGAAAGTGTCTGAATACAAAACAAATATTTAATAGGTTTGAAAAATCAGAATATTTTCCTTACATTTTTAGTGCAATTTCATTTCAACATGCATAATGTATTGTTCATATTGTAAAAGCGTGTGTTCATTTTTATAATAATTTAACTCAAAATTTTACTGAGATTCAGAGATTCGTTATTTAAAGATTAAGAGACAAGAGAAAACTTTTCCAGTTAAAAAGCCACAACTACGGTGAGAAGTTTCGGAAGCTCTTCGGCCTATAACAATTGAGGAATTACTTTAGTGCTTTGCTGCTCGATGTCTTTGCAAGAAATGATTTAACTTTACAGCGATTATCCATGCAGTATGAATCTATGTAATAACTCATTTATATTATAGCTTGCAGATTTATATTTATCAATTGCATTTATAATTCTTTCACGTAAAACTTAAAAGAACAATATTTTTAGTACGTCAGACAATGTCTGGTCATTATTCCGATAATTTTATCATGAACAAATATAACAAATAACAACTTGATTTACATCTAAATCAATGAAATTCGAAGTTAGGCACTTCCCGTAACTTCAATTTCAAATATTAAAACTTGAATTTCAAATTTCCTGTTCCTGCCGGGGTAAAATCTATTTAAATCTATTTGATAAATTTAGCAAACGAGCTTTTATCATCCACCGTGATATCGAACTTTAATTCGCACGTACACAAATACAAATTACACACAAACACGCATACACGTTCATATGCTGCACGTAAAATTTTCTAGACTTTATTTCCAAACAATTTCGTGATCCTTGACGAAAATTTGATGAGATATTGACGAATCGATTTCAACGAGTTTAGATCTGTCGTTTAATACAATCAACAGGAATAGCGGAATACTTTGCGCAAAAAGCGTCACTGCATGCAACGTAGCGTTGCGGTATATCAAATTGTTATTTTAAAAGTATTTAATTCCAGTATTTTATCGACACGTCGCGCGGACTTTGTCGATTTACCCATCGATTTGGCGACTTCAAGTAATTTCAGTGTTTAATCAATACAGCGACACCACACTGCACGTCGTCGACAGCGTCATCGCACACATACCCCCCGTTTATTTGATCGGGACAATAGCCCGTGACCAATCTAAGAAATAAACTGGATCGCGAGGAACAAAAGTAGATGCGGAGTGCAACGGGCGAAGGTCTCTCGGTCTACGATAATTGAATCGACCTTTATCGCTGTGATGCTGAGAGCATTGTTCTCCGGTGTCTTCTATTGGATAGTGAGATTTGGTGCGTTTCCATGATTACCGTCACGGTAGAGCAAAGGTATCAAAGGCATCCCCGATTCGAGGATGCGACGACAACGGCGTTACATTTCCGCCGGAGCGTACGTTGCACGCACATTTTGCGATGCTCGTTGAATTTGTGACTACTTTACAACAAGCCCCCAAGCGAGAGGAGTATGCGTCAGCTCCGACAGGAAATCGCTATTCGCTGATTTCATTTGAATCGTGGCTGACGAACAAGATATAGCGTATCTCGGTACTTAGGTGACACGTAAGGGCGTACGTTGAGTATTATCGCATACAACGAAGGACGTTAGTCACGGAAACGTCAAGTATGTGCGCTCCTCGGGGTGTTGAATTAAGAAAAAATTTTGCAAAAGGACAAGTGTACGTTGCTCTTATAGTTGAGTTAAAACTTTAGACGACTTTTAGAGCGCTGTTTGATTTAGATAAAATCCCAATAAAATTCTAATTAAAGCTCATGACGGAAGAGCCCTAGCAGAAATGCAAAGATTACGAGGGCTTCCGTGATCGTTGTATTTCCGCACAACTCAGCACATTTTTTTTTTTAATGAACACACACACGCACTAAGAAAAAAGTTGTTGATATAAATGCGTCTTATTAATAATATATTTTTTTAATTCAATTCTACATGTTTTCAAATAAACATACGTCTACAACATTAACATGATATTTTTTTCGAAATAACAAGTATTTTGTTAAATTAACAAATAATTGTTTGACAGCCCGTGACTAGTTAGATCGCCGTGTATAATTGAATCAAAAAATATATTTTTTATATTTTACACTTTTTTCCTCTCAGTGCGCACGCATACGCACATACACATCCTCTTTCACAAGTGTAAAAATTCTCTGTGTTGTGTAAAAGATTCATTAAAATCGATCTTGAGCTATAAGTGAACATATAAGAAAATACATACAGGTCAAATCAAGAACCTACTTTTTTTTAAGTCGGTTATAAAGAAAAATCAGCGATGACACAATATCTCGCCTGCGCGTGGATGTAATGCGAGAGAGCTGTGGATGTGTGTTGAGAAGTACAATTAAAAATCCTATAATCTCGATAGAAAGATCCGCGTACGCATGATCGCGCCCGTTCGCCATTCCTTTTTTGCGAGAGAGATCGAAATTAACTCCACTATTTATTTAAGAGCGTTCGACAGGTTAACGTATACGTGATCTATATATATAAAAAAAAAAGCGGGAAACGCGTGAACTCGCGTTTGCCGGTGAAAATCGCCTTGCCTTGGTTCGCGGAGGATCGAATATGGAGGAACGGGCGACGGGTTAAGTGAAAAATGAGTTCATGGTAGGTGGATAAGAGAGAGGGAGGGAAGGAGCCTAAATGAAAAATGAAACAAAGCCAAATTGGTTCGTCTCCCGAAAATTCACGGGCGTGCAAAGAAACAAGAAGGAGGACTCGTCTCAAAGAGTCATCATCGTGCCTTGACGGTACACCGCTTGAGTCTAGGTGAAGAAATAAGTTTTGAACACAGGGGGAAGTATGTATATATCGCCATATTCTTTTCTCGAGGAACTCTGATTATCCGAAAAGTCGTAACCGCGTTAGCATGCAGCTAAGGGTCGTGTCGTTGCTGTTTGAGAATTAATAGACGATCGCGCTTTCAAGGATATTTCCTTGTAAAATGTAAAGAGTGGGAGATGAATCCTTACTCCTTAAGGATACTTTTATAAAGAAGTAGTTCATGGAGAGAGCCGTATAATTATCGCGAGCTTACGAAAACCGGGAAAAGTCGCTACTGCGACAATTTGATTTTCCCTATAACGGTTATGCTTAAAACGTGACGAGCGTTTTATTCTGAGAAAATATGCGAGCATTCATCTGCTTTCACCACGCTAATGCAATGAATTCGATATTACCGTCAACTTACGTTGATATCGTCTCATTTTGTCTCATTTATGGTTTAATCGATTTTCTACGTTTCAAAAATGAGACGTCTAAATTTGCCTTTGGTATGATTTTGTATTTTTTTTAGCTTTTGTTTGCTTGTATTGTTAAATCACTTTTAATCTCCCGGGAAAACACAAATACATTTTCCACTGGATAGGATTAAATAGCTTTCAATTTTACTTGGCAATATTTCGCCGGAGACTTCGGAAAATTATAACTTTGCGGTGATAATTACGAAATAACGACAAATTATGATTGCGTTACAGTCATAAATTTCTAATAAACCACACGAGTTTGGTGTTAATAATCTCTCTCGAGTACAACGATGGTCGAATCGGTCGATTATTTCGGTATTTTGTAATTAATAAATAATAGCGGTTTATTTAGTCGTTACATTTCATCTGTGGGGAACGATGTCTCTGCAAATCGCTATTGATATGCATATACTATTATTACAAAATGTGCTTTCGCGTATTATCGTATCTATGCGAACGATTTAAGTTATTACGCGCGATGCCTGACATTTTCTCATGCTCTGGAATTCTTTATTATATACACAACAATAGGCTGCAAGAAGAGATAGACGAAATAAAATATATTAA